TGAACTGGAAAGTGACCTGAGATGACATGATGTGAATTGGAGCTATAGAAATAAACTGGATAGAACTGGATTCAGGGTCAGTCTTCATCCAATTAGTAGTTACATTTTGTCTTGCAATCATCAACAGAATATATAATATATAACATTGTTCTGTGGTAAGCAGGAGGTCAGGGAACCCATCCAATAAAACTAACAGAGGGTCCAGCGCCTTAATTTTTTCCATTTCTTTTTGGACATTTTTTCAAAATGTTTGTAGTTTGGGGCAGTCCCAGAATATCTGAGTATGGTCACCGACCATTCCACGAGGAGCAGATCTAACTGAGCTCAAGGAACTTCCAATTAAAGCTGCACAACCATCAATGCTAACAGGACAGGAACGGATACATATCACTTTGCAAGAACACCCAGTTCTGTTGGTGGGAAAGCCATGAGGAAGGGTGAGGAAGTCCTTCTTCTGGACTTAAAGGAACATCTGACCTGATTGATCTAAATCAAGTCTAACCTGCTCTACATCCAGGCTCTACATCCTGTTGGGGCTGATGTTTCCACTCAAACAGGCAGCCTGTGAATCCTGCCCGCTCTGATGGCGAAGCTTTCCCAGTTTCTGGGATGTTTCTGCAGGGTCAGACTCCTCCGCCGTGGTTATGAAAGCGGTGCGGAGTACAGCCTGCTGTTACATCATCAGTGCATTAACTTATTGCTGTGTGAAGCTGTTTATAGCATTGCTAATGAAAGCTCTGATGCTTTTACCGCAACACTTAAAGCGACTAGGAGGAGGGAAGCTTTTATTGGATGAGCTCAGTCTGAACAAAATCCCCCAAAATCCCTCCCATCAGGTTAAACAGGCGGAAACAATCTTCATCAGATGTTTACAGACCAGTGAACAGGAGGAAGCAGAGCGACCAGCAGCAGCTGCAAAGCTTCAACCAGCCATGGAAATAAAATACAATCAAGACAATAAAAAGACTGGAAAAGACTTCATCTCCCCCATTTTCCCTTGTCTCGCCTTTTCTACCAAGTCTCCTCTCCTCCCCCAAGTTTCCCCTTTTCTCCCAGATCTTCCCCACTCTCCCCTAAGCGCCTCAGTCTCCTCCCAAGCTGCCCTCCTGTCTCCCCCTTTTCACTCTAGTCTCACTTAGTCTCAAGTTTAGTCCAGAGAACCGCTGAGAACATCTGATCTTCAGGTCTCAGAGCTCGACATGGATGGTAACCAGGAGCTCATGAAGACGAGGAGATGCCGGATCGATTAAACATTTATTGAGGTCCAGATGTGCGTTTGGGTATCTGGACTCTGGACCAGCGGGGGAAGGGAGATCAGTAGGTGCCGTCGTCTGATCTAGAAACAACAGGGCTGTGAATGAGGCTTTCTGGATCTTCAGGAGGAACATAAAGCTCGACTTTGTTAATGAGACGGAACGTTTCAGAAGATCCATCCATCAACATCTCCAACGACCGGCCCATCCGTTAATGCAACATTTAGTTTCCCTTTGGGATCCAAGTCTAAAGACTTTATTTAATTGAATAAAGCCTTCCTCTCATTGACGGAGCAGATTTCATCCTGGTTACGGTTTATTAATAATACGATTTTAGGTTAGAGACTTTTGTTTTAGAAAAATTTCACTTCATGCTATAAATCCTTAGATTTCAGAAATCTGGAGACAAAAAGTCTTTAACTCTGAAGTATAAAATGATTCAGACAACATTTATCAACTGATCCTACGACGTACTTTACTAAAAGTTTCTGATGCTGTTGGTTTTAAATTCTAAAATCTATGAACCCAGTATAACCAGAATCTGGGTAAACCCAGTTTTATCTAGGATAAACTTCCCTTGAATTAGTTTTATGGGACATATTCAGTTTAATCCAGTCTAGCGTGATCTAACGTTAGTCAAATTTTGTTTAAAATTTGTTTAAAATGACCTGAAAAAGTTTAGATGGGTTTATGTAGTTTAATCAGGTGTAAACTCAGACTAAGTTATTGTAAATCCGTCTAAATCACTGTGAGAATAGCTTTTATCACAGCTGCTTGGTAAAACTCCAGTTTATCTTAGTCTATTTAAATCCACAATAAACCACTTTCCAACCTGTTAGAAATCCAGTTTAAACTGTTCTAATTCAAGTTCAAATTGGTCTAAATGCAATTTAACCTGGTCTAAATTCAGTTCATTCTGGTCTAAATTAAGTTTAAACTGGTCTAATTCCAGTTTAAATTGGTCTAAACCCAGGTTAAAATGGTCTAAATCCAGTTTAAGATGGTACAAATCCAGGTTAAACTGGTCTAAATCTGGTTTAAACTGGTGTTATTACAGTTCAACCTGTTCTACACCTTTAACTTGTTCTAAATCCAGTTTAACCAGGTCTACATCAAGTTTAATCTGGTCCAAAACTAGTTTATTCTGATTTAAATCCAGTTTATTTTGGTCTACATCAAGTTTAAACTGGTCTAAATCCACTTTAACCTGGTCTAAATTCAGGCCAACTCTTTAAACTGGTCTAAATACAGTTTAACATGTTATAAATTCAGGTCAATCTGAACTAACTCTAGTTTAAACTGGTCTAAATACAGTTTAACTTGTTTTAAAAGCCCTAGAATTTTGGTTGACTAGAGTCGACTCATTGACTCTTCAGCAATCCCTCACACTAAGCATGCTTGTAGCGACAGTTGAGAGGAAAAACTCCCTTTGAACAGGAAGAAACCTCCAGCAGAACCAGGCTCAGTGTGAGCGGCCATCTGCTGAGGCCCACTGGGGTTCAAGGAGATCGAAGCAAACATAGAAAAAGAAAAAAAATGAAGCTGTGAGCTATCTTATCAAAAAGTAAA